TATTAAGAACTACAGTATCTTTGCTGAGATATCATACAACCTGCGCCACCAATTTGACGACCCTCCATAAGAGGCTATGTTACAGAGTCTACTTTCCAGTTAGTTTTTTTCAACAATTTTGGTGGTGACGAGGTCTAAAATTTTGGGAAAAGACTCCTTGCACCTTCAAGAATCATCCTTTAAAATATCATTTAATACTCCAGTGTTTTGATTTAGTGAGGAGCTACTTTAATTTCTCGTAAAATAGGAAATAAAAGATAATTTTTCTATTTCATACCGATTCTAAGACATTCAAATTTCCTACATGTCACTCACTTTATCTATCTGTACTTGAATGGCAAAATCGGTAAAATTTTGTACTTTATAATTCCTTTAACTTGTGGCTGATAAAAGTTAGTGCCTTCTACAAGAGGTCGTATTTTTTCCAAAAGTACAGCGTCATGGTAACATAGTATAAAAAAATTCCTGTGTGTATAATTTATTGTTAAAAAATTTTCATATTCTACTAAGGCTATAGTGGTCAAGAAAGCTTGCCATATGCTCTGAATGATATATACTGTATTATAAAATGTTATTGATATAGCGATTTTATAAAGTTCTTGTTAATGTTGAATTTGCAAACGTTATTTTAATATAGTTTTAGTACTCAATTATTTTTTAAAATTATTTATTAACTTAAATATTAAATTCGCTTATACCTATTCCAGAAGTAACTCTCACAGGGACCGTAAAAATTCACAGCATAGCAAATACTTTATCTATTTATTAAGAAAAACGCAATACGAAGTCAATATGAAAATGTATAAAAAAAAAAAAATTATCTGACTATACTGTGGAGTAAGACGAATCTTTAAATCATTACAATGCCGCCCACTTCAAAACCATTCTCTTCAACTGAAATAAAATATGTATCTAATACATAAATGCAATCAATATCAAATTGAAAAAAATATCCAAACGTCGAAAATTGGCTAAGTTGGCTGGTTTGTTTTGGGGTCTGACAATGTTAAGTTCGACACTAATCGGTGCAAGGCACTGCTAGCTTGCAGTTATTATCATTATATTTATAACTTGCAGACTTCTAATTACATTTATGACACAGGTATTCATTTCAGAAGCTTGGAGATTGTTGTTTTTGTTAAAATAGTCTAAAAGTTACATTAACATAACCATTCTCGAGCTAGCTATAGACACACGTAAAGGCATAGTATAAAACTACGTATATACATATGTCTGTTCAAGACTCCTTCATAAAGCTATTGCTTTCTGCGTACTTATGATTTTTTTTCTCCAGGTTACCACGGCAGCCTACTAGTCTACTAGTCAGGGCCATTCACTAATTCTGTGTAAGGGTTTATTATCGCAACCATTACCAAAGGCCTTAATTGATACTACACTTATTACATCATAGTTATAACAAGAGTTTCTTAGGTGAGACTTGTTACTCTACAGTCAGACCTTGACGTCTACACTGGCAATCTCTGCACCAATGGTGCAGATTCACTCGTCAGTGTGTAGAAGATTTCATACCGTAAATGTCCATTCCTTGCCGATTACGCCAGCTCTCTCTGTAGAAGCATCGAATCCAGGCTAATAAGCATAACCAGAGAAGCCTTATTTTTTCGGAGTCCACTCCAGACCGCTAAGACCGCTCCATAATACTAATCATGCTTACGACTGTGACAACACTGCTTTTTCATATTTATAAGGAAAATTATTAATTTTTGCATAAAAATTTGTCAGGCGTATGTGTCGATGTACCCGTACATGCAGCGTATATTATATATATATCCTGACTATACTGTTTTTTATTAATATGCTTTCATACAAAAAAAAGTAAATTTATCTATTAGTTTTATTAAAATTTTAAGTATAGGTGACTTCTCCATAAGCCTTTAAATTGAAATATTGTTTTATTAGGACAATAAATGTTCCAAATGGTGTTTTTAAATCCTCCAAAGATTAAGCTGTAGTATTATATTTTTACTGTGAATGCAGTACAATTTTGAAAATTTTATTCTTGAAAAACCAAGACTACAAAACTTCTTGAACCGAAAATACTACTGTTATGGGTGAAACTTGACAGAATTTAGAAATCTGAATTACAAAATTTTTTTTTAGACTTTGATTTTCAACAGATACTCAAGTCGATAATATTCGCGTAAAACATGAAAGTATTATAGTACTTAGAAATTGCATACTGTTTTTTAGTGTTTTCTAAAAAGATTACTTACATCAATTAAGTTTATTTTTTAGACACAAGTAATGTTAAAAGCGTATTTTTATAAAACAAATCAAAAAACCAATTGTTAGACGTTGACTTAAAATCTTGGAATGAGTTTTTCATGATTCCAAAAACTTTAAACGTAGTTATCAGAACTTAAAATGATTTATGCAATAAAAAAGTTTGTTGTAAAACAAATATATAGTTTCACAGGAAAAGGTTTGTCAAATTTTAGTTTGGTTCTAAAATATAGCAATAGAAGCATGATAATAGCAAAAACAGTGACATTATTATTAATGCAGCTAGTTTTAAAAATTTTGCTGTTACTTATTCATATTTATTTAACTACCAGGAATTATTAAAATTTATAGTAAAAAATTTTGAAGGACAGTAAAAAAATTTATTTCCAAAAAATTACTACAAGCAATACATATTTAAAAACTTTCCATAATGGTATTTATTGCTTAAAAAACAGTGTAACACTTACCTTATATAATCGAGGTATTACTTTATCAATAAAAATAAAACAAAAAATGGACAAGTAATGTGGCATAAATAATGATTATATAGACAAGTATCGTATATTAAAACTGTTGTTTGTATAACTGTTTACCCTTACTTACAAAAGTAGGATGCAAAATTTTTGATACAAATGTCGACGTGCTTACACAATTTTTTATCTAAATCATACAAAATACTAAGTTGTCTCAGGCCCTTTATATAAGGATTAGATAATAAAATTTTATTTAATATTATGTGTGATTATGTCTTATATTGTTTACTATTGTAATGTGACATAGATTAACGTGCAATTCTTTGTCAAATCTTAAAAATATCAAGCAGTAACTAATTATGATCTTCCATTTTTTATGGCAACTACGTTCTCCGATACTTGTTTCACAGTCCTTAAGTAATTTTTTAAAGCATTTTGTAGAGAATGGTACATCTGAAATAAGTTGTTAATAGTTATTTTTACTGTACAGTTAAGATAATATACTTATTCCATACCTGACAATATGATTCCTCCTTTTTACTTGCTTGTTGAAGCTGAGATAACAAGACATCTATAATACTATAGGGAAAACATACTGATGAAGACTTACTCAGTAGTGTTGAAGACAATCCGAAGCATTCATGACCTTTGCCAGACAAAAGTGTTTGAATGTAGTCTAAGGAAAGGTCGGTGGCTTCTTCCAATCTTCCCATTTGTAACTTTAAACGTAGTAACTCAGTTACATTCCTTTTCTAGAATAAATATTAAAATAAATAAAAGTGAAAATGTGTAAGGTCATATAATTTTTAGGGTAGATCTATATTTATGTAACATACGCAGTTATTTTATTAGAGTGTGAGTTATTTATTCTACAGTTTAAGTATAAAATGATGATACCAAAAGACTGATTATCGAAAGACACCTCTTAAGGTGGCTCCTCACTATAAATCCCACAAGAAGAGTAAGCATACTGCAACACAGCTTTTCATTGGCTGTGGAGGCAGTGGAGGTTCTTGACTAAAAATGGATAGGTACCTATAGTCCCTTCAAAAAAAGTTTAGTCACATGTACACCGTTGACCTATATCGTACAATACAGTGACCCGAGCAGACGTATGTATACAAAAAATACATAAGTCAGCTCTGCATTAAATTATTTTCTTAGTTCAGCGTCTCATTGATTTTTATTATAATAACGATTCTGCACAACTCCTATTCATTTTACGTACAACTTTCTGACCAATTAAAACTACGCGGGCTACCGCTCTTCGGTGTAGCAGACGCCCCACACTTTTCATCTGTTCCGTGACTTGCACAGTTATCTACTATTTTCACAAAATATCCTATAAAACCCATGGTAATGTCCAAGTACCTGAAT